AGAACTTAGTCGGGGGAAAAAGATGTCCAGCTTTTGTACAGTTCATATGGCAATGGATGTGTCCATAATATCCAATTAAGGCTCATACTTTATTCTTTGGTATCCTGAAGCATATTAAAGAGGACAGAGAGGCAAATGTACAATGGTGTGTGTGTGTGTGTGTTCTCGTGCACACACACACACATACAAACCCTTCTTGCGTTTGTGAAAATGGTCTAGATTCCACTTTTTAAAGGTAAAAACCATTTTCTACCTTATATTGCACAACAAAATAATACAGAGTTCTACCTCAAAGACTGTGTTGCTTGCAGCTGACATCTTGGATTCAAGTCCTACTCCTTTATTCACAGTCTTTATCTGCTATACAGGAATAATAATTCTTAGTTTTTCTTCAAGTAAGGATTACTGATAGAATACAATATTTTGTTGTATTCAGTGGTGCCTTTACACTTGTAGAAGGATGTGGCATTCATTTTTTTTTTTTTTTTTTACAATCATTTCATCTAGAGCAGTTCTCCATGCCATATCCCATACCTTTCCCATAGATCCTCCAAAACAAATTAATTAGCTTTATCCATAATCAAAACAAAACAAAACAAAAGCGTAGAGTGCAGCCACTCCTTTGGCCCCCTGGGTGAATCCACACTCAGAACTCCTCAGCACCAGCAACCAGGAACCAGACACACTGGATTCAGGACACACCCATCCAATTACCGGAGGGAAACAGAACTTTATTGAACAGAAACACACAATAGGATTGGAGGGTTTAAAAGAGTGAACTCTCAACAACATAGAACACACACACAAAAGGCAAGGGGAAAGAAAGGGAATTAGAAAGCAGCATAGACACACAAAGTTCAAATCCTAAACACAATTTACAAGCATTTTGACCATCTCAGACTTAAAACAACAAAGCTAACTAACCTGCCAGACGGGATACTTAGTCGGTCTTTCTCGCAAGTAAGCTGCAAGGCATAGACGAACAGAGCCTAAATGCAGCAGAGCCTGAACAGAGCCTTTGGTAGCAACTGAGTTCTCTCTGGAGAGAGAACAAATGGCAGCCTGAATGCCCTCCTTTTATTCCCCCCCCCCGCCCCGACCCTCAGCAATCAGAGTCTTCAGTTCCATGGGGTGACATCTCTGAACATTCCCAGGTAGGACCTATTGACTTGATGTCCCCACCTCTCCAGTGCCCTTCCCCTAAGAATGTGAACTGCCCTGTCCTTGGATGATTTGCAACATCTTCGATGTTTTTCCTGTTCCTCCCTCTGCCAACCCTAGGCACCAAAACAGCCTTGAAACTGCCCCCTAGGCTCTGTGTAACCAAGTCTTGCTTTAACTCCTTCCTTCCCCCTTGGTCACTGAACCCTCTCCACTACAAAGACACCTCAAGTTCTTTCCAGCCCATTTGTGAAGACATTTTCAAATTTTGGTAAAATAACAAAACTAACAAATGAAATTCTCATTCATTTGCCTTAACCAATTTCAGTGTTGTTGTTGTCATGTGCCATCAAGTCATCTCCAACTTATGGCAACCCTATGAATGAAAGCCCTCCAAAATGTCCTATCCATAACATCCATGATTACCTGTTCTAAATTCACGGCTGTGGCTTCTTTATAAAAGAGATGCATCGTCTCTATAAAAAGCCACAGCCTTGAATGTGCTCCCCAGAGAGGTCCACCTGGCGCCAACAGTATAAGCTTTTTGGTGCCAGGACAAGACCTTTTAATTTTTCTGTAATTTTAATGTTTCTGTAATGTTAATATTTTATCTAAGTTTTTTCACTCAGTCATGGATTAGTTTGTATTAGTTGAGTGTAGATGTATTTATTGGATTTTGCTGTAAGCGGCAATGTATTGGACGGGGTAAAAATACCCAAATAATTAAATAATAAATAAATCTCATACTTGGTCTTTTAATTCTTCTGCCTTTGACTTTCTCTTGCATGATTGTCTTCTCCAATGAGTCTTGACTTTTTCATGTCTGAGGTATAACAGTTGCAGTTTCATCATTTTTGCTTCTAGGGAAAGCTCTGGCTTGATTTGATCTAGGACCCACTTGTTTGTCTTTCAGTTGGTCCAGGATATTTGCAAGCTCTTCACCAGCACCATATTTCAATCACATCATTTTTTTCCGGTCAGCTTTCTTCACTGTCCAGCTTTCACACCCACATATGCAATTAGGAATACAATGATGTGAATGATCTCGGTTTGGTCTCCAGCAATTTCAATAAGTACATTTATCCCCAGCATAGATGGGGCCAAGATGTACGTTGGTACCGTGTATTTGTCAAGAGGACAAGCCTATTGGAAAAGAGAAATGTGCCAACCATAATGCAGGGCTGCAAACCCAGTTGAATGTATGGTGATTCAAATCCAGATTTTAAAGAGCTCATTATGCAAAGCCCTCTCCAGATGGATGGATCTTCCTAGTTCACTTTCCCCATATTTAATTTTTAAGCTCTAGCTCTTCTGAGCCCATGAAAAAATTTGCAAATTTGGGTGACTTCTAATACAGAAACTGAGCAAGAAAAATACTCAGTGTCTCAGGATTAACTCTCAGGTGGCATATGGTGGTGGTGAGGATACTATGGATAGAGGACATTGGCAAGCACCAGGTGCCCTCCTTTGGCATAGCAGAAGTGCTTTCTTCTGCCACAAAACTAGCTTTGCCTACAACCCAAAGGACTTTGAATGCCTGAAATGTGTAAAATAAATGCTATGTCATATCATCATATTTTCTGATGAATCTTTCATTATGGTATTTTCTCAAGAGATTTCTTTGCATTCCGGCTGCCACTTGATTTGCTAAAGAACTGGCTAAATTCTTGGCAGTCACCAAGAGGTTAATACTACAGATGGTAAGGCCAGCATTGGTCCTGCTGGTGCTCTTGGATGCAACATCTAAGGGCTGCTGAGCCACAGAAGAACAGCTCTGTCATGTGGCAGAGTAATGCACTCACTTCAGGCAGTGGATTTGTTATTGCCGTTAAAGAGCAGAAAATGCCCAGTCGTTTAATTTATCATTATAGTGTTGTTGCTTTTAGCAGAAGGGGAGATTGGGATTTAATGGGCAATTTCCAATTTGACACAACTGCTAATGTAGAGCATAAGCAACCTCCAGCACAAGGCTGATAGCATTTGTTGTCCTTATAGGTTTTCTAGAGAAACCTGTCATGCCAGCAAACGCTATTTGACTTACGCCAGAGGTCACTCATACTTGTGCAACAAATCTGTGGCAATGTCAAACTGGATGCTGCCATATTTTAAACATTTGTACATCAGTTCTTAAAATTAAAGGTGCTTCTGAGCTTCTCCTCTTCTGAGTCTTGGAGCTTCTAGTCTCGTTTCCAAAGTGGAACCAACAGACAAGGATCTTTTCCCTGCTTTTTCAATTACTCTTATGTTCATGTTTTGTATAAAATGCACTAGAAACAGTGCAGTTTTCATTCCCTGTGTGGAGGGCTAAACTGGATGCGGTCTTAGCAATGTGCCAGGCTCCCGTGTGGATCTTCACGTGCTGGAAACAAGAGACAAAGTGAGGATGTTTGGATCGATGTGCTTGTGAAGGTCCTGTGATCAGAAACCCTGACAAGGCATGGCTTGTGATGAAGCAACTCTGTGAACATATTCAGCTGAACATGTTTATGTACACTGTTCAGTCCTGTCAGGGATGATAGGATATCAGGGTTGGAGCTTTCATGAACTCCTACATCTCTGTATCCGGTTTAAGGCTATACATGAACATGCACTTGCTTGAACAGTGCCAATATGCATGGTAAATAGCAAATCCACATTTGCTTTTCCAGCAGACGACATAGACTTTGAGTTTTGATGTGATTAAGCACTTTTTTCATGTCCGCATCTCTCACCAAATATTTCAAATGCTCTACTAAAATATCTTAAAATCAGATATCTCAACTTCTATAATCTTAAGCACATATTCTTAGGGTTCTATGAATTTTGTTGACTCCATCTCATCTGTGTTTTGCAGATTGTCAGACATCTTTCATTCTCACATCTGCTTATTGACATTAGCTGACATTTTATTTTGTATCATTTTTATTTTTAACCAGAATGTTCTTCTATTTGGGCTAAGTCATACTAGCACTGATGTGCACTTTCACAAGTATGCTGCTTTGTGCTAACTAATGCAGATTGGTGCCAACCTCTGTCTCCTAACAGTAAAAAAAATGGTCTGCTGAATACATGTGACTTGAAAAAAGTTGGTCCAGGGCAAGTGCAGAACGCAAGAAAATCCAAACTCAGATGACCCTGTTAGCATCCCTAAATACAGTCACTCTTCCTTCTTAAGACAATATCAAGTTTCCCTAACGTTTGGTGGTTAGCCTGTAACAGACCCATCCTATAGTCCTTGCGGGGCATGTCCCACAGACCATGGGATAATGTGCCTCCCTCTCCCCCGTCCCACCCCAAGCACAGACACAGAATGACCTTGCACGGGAGGATTTCAGCAGGGAGTTCCCCATTCCTTCCTCACCAGCACTTGGCAGCTTCTTTTCTGGGGTTGTTATTGTGGCTGAGGAACACTGGGAGTTCTAGGACTAACATGTGCATGATTAGTCTTAGATTCAGTAATCTCTTAAGAAGTATTTAATTGAAATGCTGCGGAGCACAACTTTTGTATGTGATCTGTAATTACAATCATATAAATACAGAGCCTATGGTGATACCACAGAATTCAATAGAAATCTGAATTTTGTTGGGTTTTAATAATGCAAAGCAAGTTTCCAATTATGTTTCTTATTATTTTGAATGAAAGAAAAATCATTGCATGATAGGGGCAACCTACTGATTTGCTGATGCCTGCATTGTTTCAAAACTTGACAGAACTGTGATTATAATAAGAAATAATATTTCAGTTCATTGCCAATTAAAAAGTCTTTTGAAAAACTATTAATTCCAAAGAAAAGAAGCCATTATTTCCTGGCAAATTTGGAAGGTCATATTTTAGCACTTGATTTCTTATTCTTTTTCAGAAAACAAGCTAACAGCACTTGATTTTTGTGCTATGTACCTGCTGAAGAGGCCCATTTAGCTCTGCTCAGTCACAAGTGAAACTGCTTACCTCCAGATGGACACTTATTCGCAAGTATTTTTCAACTAGTTTGACCTTATTTCTCAGAAACCAGACATTCTCCAGGGCAGGTTGTGGCTAGTAAATCAACTGTAGTGTTAATCAATAAAAGTAATCAACCCCTGAGGCCATGCCTGTCTATTACAATATGTTAGCAACCAAAGATTGTGGTCGCTACAGAAACACTGTCAGAAAGTAAACAAAATGACACTCCGTGCTCCCCACCTGTGCAACAAGTTTTCTTTTTTTAAACAACAATAAATACAACTTGACATCCCACTTCTAATATCAACCAGTTCAGCATCCTTAAGGGATAGTATCCTAGCATAAGATTTTTTTCCAGTTAGTTTTATTTTCAATTGATTTAATGTTTTATTGGAGTTTGCAATGACTGGACCCAAACACAGATCAACACTCAAAGTGGGCTCTGAAGTCCTTGCATATTGGTTTGAAGTGCAATTCTTACAACAAAAATGCACTTGAAAAATGTCTGCATTCTACAAATGTGCAGGAAAACTGTACACAAACACACTTTAGACAATGGGAGAAAATGTGAATATTTCAAACATGTAAAATGGACATGCATGAAGATTGACAGAGGTGTACAGAATTATGCATGGTGTGGAGAAAGTGGATTGGGAGACATTTTTTCCTCCCTCTTTCCCTTTCCCTCACCCAGGGTCATCCCATGAACCTGACTGTGGGAGGATCAGGACACTTCCTCACACAGTGCAAAGTTAAACTATGGAACTGGCCTCCGCAAGATGTACAGCCACCAGTTTGGCCAGCTTTCAAAGGAGTTTGGATGAACTCAAGGAGGAAAAGCTATCAATGCCTACTAGTCCTGATGGCTCCAGGACACTGATGTGCATCATTTCCCAAGGAACTGGGACAGGAAAATGTTGGTGCACTCACATTCTGCTTGTGGGATCCTGTGAGCACCAGTCAGCTGATGTCTGAATGCAGTATTAGGCTGGATGAATCCCTGGTCTGATCCACTGTGTATTTGTGTGTGTGTGTATGTATGTGGACCGTAAGGAAGGCTGAGCGCTGAAGGATTGAGGCCTTTGAATTGTGGTACTGGAGGAGACTCCTGCAAGTGTCTTGGACCACAAGGCGATCAAACCGGTCAGTCCTAGAGGAGATCAACCCTGACTGCTCTTTAGAAGGCCAGATACTGAAGATGACACTCAAATACTTTGGCCACCTAATGAGAAGGAAGAACTCCCTGGAGAAGAGCCAAATGCTGGGAACAATTGACGGCAAAAGAAGAAGGGGACAGCAGAGGATGAGGTGGCTAGATGGAGCCACTGAAGCAGTTGGTGTGAGCTTAGGTGGACTCCGGGGGATGGTGGAGGACAGGAAGGCCTGGAGGAATGTTGTCCATGAGGTCACGATGGGTCAGGCACAACTTCATGACTAACAACAACAACAACAGTGTATGTGTGTGTGTGTGTGAGAGAGAGAGAGAGAGAGATGGAAATTGAATTTCCCCAAAGAGCTTCTGTTCTGCTGATTCACAGAACCCTAATCCCAGTTCATATTTCAGTTACAGATGTATGAGAAATTCATTTCAGTTTATTTTTACATAATTTACCCAGTTTGCACCTCCAAATGGATCTTTCCAAGTTGGGAGAAGAGGTACCAAAATGGCCAATGCAGTTCAATGGGTACAAGTGCAATATAATACACGTTGGGCAAAAGAATCCCAGCTTCAAGTATAGGCTGATGGGATCTGAGCTGGGGATGGGGAGTTGTAGGGGAAAGTCTAACAAAATTGTCAGCCACAGCTGCTATGAAAAAGGCAAATTCCCTATTAGGCATGATTAGGAACAAAATAGAAAATAAAATTGCTACAATCATATCTTATACAAATCTTTGTGGTGACCATACTTAGAATATTGTGTGCCGTTCTGATTGCTGCACCTGAATAAGAACATCTTTGAGTTGAAGAAAGTGCAGAGAAGGACAAAGAAAATGACTAAGGTTGGAATGACCCAGCAACTCTCCTGTGAGGATGGTTACAACAACTTGAATTATTTCACTTTTTTAAATAATAAGAGGGAATATGATAAAGGTGCTTAAAAATATGCATGGTGTGGAGAAAGTGAGAAGGGAGACATTTTTATCTCTCTCCCATAACACTAGAACCTGGGATCATCCCATGATGCAAATTGGAGGGAGATGCAGGACAGTTGAAAAGCCTCTCAGAACACAAGGACACCTTGTCTGAGAGAACAGAGCATAGGCCTATTTGGCCACAGTGGCCAAAGAGATGCTTATGGGATGCGTACAAGAACCCCCTCCAGCTCATATGTTTGCTGTTGTTCCTGAAGGTATTGTATAGGCATTACCTTCCCTGAATTTATCTAATCCACTTTTGTCTGTGGCCATCATTACATCTTGTATGAGCAAATTTCATGGCTTCCATATGTGAGGAAGGACTTCCATTGGAAGTACTCCGGGGATGGTGGAGGACAGGAGAACCTGGAGGAATGTTGTCCATGGGGTCGTGAAGAGTTGGGCATGACTTTGTGCCTGGACAACAACTTTGATCTGCCCTGTATCTCTCACCATTTAGCTTTAATGGTTGACCCCAAATTCTAGTATTATGAAAGTACATTGTTTATTTTCTCTGTATTACACATAATTTTGTACGCTTCTGTGTCTCTGCTTACTCACTCCTTTTTAAAAAGCCAGAAAGCCTTAAAGCTTTCCTGATAGGGTAGATGCTCCAGCCCCTTGATGATCTTCTTTCCACTAATAGCAGGTCTTTTGTGGTGAACATCGCTTGCATGAAAGCTTCACTCCTGGGATTTTGTAAGGTCACTTGCAAGCACCATGACCAGCTGCTTGGGGAAAAAAAAAACATCTTTAACTTCTCCTCCTGCTTCTCTGGGACTGGGCTGAAGTGGGACATCCTGAGTGCATCTATGGAAGCTGAAGCAAGCTGACCACCCCAGTTTTCTTCTAAGCCCCGTATTTGATGTTAATTAAGCTTCAGTGGTACATAATCCCTGTGCCTGTGATTGTTTTGAGGACAGAGTACAGGTGATAAATATATATGAAATGAAAAGAGCCATGAAGGATCCTAAAGGATATAAGCCAACATCCACAGACATGCAGAAATTGCCAAAAAATAAGAAAGACAATATGGAAGTCTCTTATTCCATTTCCAGTATGCATAAAAGCAATAGATGTGTTGATCTCAGTATAAAGAAAATGTATTCCTGATATTTTAAACAGTAGCTTTGCTGTTTTACCTGTTACTGATTTATCATTTTATTGAAATGGAATATTTGGTTTTTATCTTCTTTAACTATAATTCCCTCACATAAAGTTTTATCGCACTGCTGTGAAATATTGTGATAAGCTTCTTCCCTGTGTGTGCATATGTGCATACACATGTGTATGTAACAAATCTACTGAGTATTGTTTACAATACTCAAGCTTTAATTCTCAATTTTTATGTGCTCTGTTAATTTAAAAAGAATGTTCTAAACAGGAACTGTGGAAAAAATACCAATAACAGGGAAGTGGATGGAGACTGAGGTTGTCATGGATATATATGGCAGCATTGCAGCAAGCTTTATAGATTATTGGAATACTGATACTTGGGGAAAAGACTTTAATGAAATGGCCTCAGAAAACAGAGGCGGCTGCTTGTCACCTTGTGAAATGGATAATTTTTCATCATTACAAAGTTTTTCATTCTAGTAATCTAAATCGTTAAAATGAATCTAGATTTAGTTACACTTAGACTAGACCTCTGAAAACAGTGTAGCACGCATCAGTCAGAACTAACCTCCCTCCCACTGATTTCAACAATTGTCTAACTGTAACTAAGTCTAACTTTCGTATGGGGCATCCTCTCCAACAAAAAGAATATGTTATTTCCCATCCTTCTCTCTGAAAAGTGTAACATAGCATGAAAACAATTACTATAGACTACAGATCCTTGTTAAGTCACGGGATCATTCTTCCCACTGGTACAGCTTCAGGACCACTTCATCAGTTATTCTTCAAGCATTCGCAGTAGGAGGCAGTTCTGCCTGGAACAAGTAGCTGCATGATCAGGACGAATGTTTGTGGCTGATAGAGGTAAGTAGTTGTACTATCAAGATGATGGTTCACTAAGCGAGGTCAGTAGTTATGAGACAAGGATGAATGCCAATGGGGTTATACAGATAAGAAAGTGTAAAATCAGGAAGACTGTGATGTAAGCTGCCAGTAAGTACTTGTAAAGGTCAAAATGAACTGTTACTGAATTTGTTGCAAAAGTGGCTGAGTCTTCCCTTCCCTTCCCTTCCCTTCCCTTCCCTTCCCTTCCCTTAATTTTATGGGTTATACAAAGGCAGGTTCAACCATCAGAAGTGGCTCTTGCTAGGTTTTTATGTTGGGTGTGACTATAGGTATCTTCAGGTGTTACAGTGCTCAGGTCATGAGATAGCCAAGTAAACACATTCCCCTGTGGTGCTTGACTTGCTAGAAAGATATATTTCTCCACTGGGAAGCACCTTCTACCTGTGGAAGTTCTCCCTTGCCATTTAGAAGCCAGATATTCCAAGGCTCTACATCACGTGGGGAACATCCATTAATAGAGAAGACTCCCTTTTTGATTGAAGGTCCCATTGCTTCCAGGGCAGAAATACAGCCCAGAGAAGGCTCCCCTGTGTACCTTTAGCACTGGTCCTTGCAGTCAGGAGGTACACTAGGAGCAATGACTCATGTGGGCAATTCTAACTCTTACAGTTCTATATTTTTCATTGAGAAAAATATATATATGTCTGTGTCCAGTGTTTGAGAAACACTGCAGAAGAAATGATAAAATGTGTTATATTTGCATTCATTCATAATATTTATTTATCACTTAGCAGAATAACATTTCTAACGAATTCCCATATATGCTACAGTTGAATGCAAGACACTTTTTCTTGAATAAAGACATTAAGTCTGGTTTTATAAATACGAGAGGAATCAAATTAGTTTACTGTATGTTGAGTCATTTACCTGACAAGCCTGAGGAATTCTGAAGAGGCTTGGGAGTGTTAATAATCAGTTTAAAGCTCTCTCATGTGCAGTGACATGCATCAACATAGA